AGAGAGAGAGAGCTGCAATTGACTTGCTTCTTTTATGGTGCTTTTACAACCACACCCTTAATTACATTCTTGTAGTTAAAGTTACACACACTTTAACCAACAAACCATGATAACTTATTTATTATTTTTACCCAAACCAGTTAGGGTAAACAATGTTATCCCTAACAACCACGACTTTCTCTCCTTTGGAAACCTTCCTTTGGGTCCCAAGCTTGGGCTTGATGCTTGTTATTTGGGCCATTTGCTTAATGGCCCCTGTTTGGTTTTCTAGATTTTGTTGTTTATTAGACTAGGTTAGTCTGGGCTGTTGGCTTTATTTAATATGTTTAGCTGCTTTTATATCTTGTCTAGTTTTGTACATCTCCCAGAGTCTACTGGGGTTGGTCAGACAATAAATTTAAATAAATAATGGCTAAACCAGGCTTCAGTGACTCCCAGGGTAGCCTACATCTGGTTAGCCTAACAGATTCCTACAAAGGGTCCTCAAGGTACCAATTCAGTCTTCACCCCTGTGAATGTGATGATTAATTACAGTGTAATTAAAATACTCAATTGCCCTCTAGGGAATCTCGAAACAAGGTCTCCAGCCAAGTGTGACAACTACAGTCTTTGGAACTAGTTGTTTATTTTCCCTAGTGACGGTGGATCTGCCACTGAGAATCCAGCATAAGCTGATGGCTTGGCTAGTTTTAAACCTGATCTTCTGCCATGACTTGCTCAGCTAAATCACAGTGAGCTTCCGGGGTTAGTGGCGCCTCTTGGAGATGTGTTTAAAATTCAGATAGGAGCATAACATCCAAGTGGTGAACGACAACAGTTGAGATTTAGCAAGCTGCTTCCTTTTCTCAAAAATAATTTCCCCCCTCTTCAGAGACACTCCATCAGCGGACCCATATCTGCTCCTAAGCCGCTTGCTGCGTTATCAGACAAAAGGTCCAGCTATGCGGAACTTCCAGTTCAAGGTATGAAGCGTCTTTTGCTACGAACCTCACCAGACACATTTTTAGAATCCTCCGGGATCTTCCATAGGGGGTTGAGCTGGGAGGACCTTTGCAGAAGGCAGATCAGTTCCACATCTTCACCCCAAGGTGGAGTTAGTGGCAGCCTGCAGTATCTTCCCAAGACCTGACTGGGCTGAATTGTGGTTTGTTGCCTGTCTCTGCTGGACCATTCCAGAACATGAGGGCGGCCTGCCTTGGAAGCGTCTTCCGATGATGGCTGAGCCCAAAGGCGAGACACTTCACTGCTCCAGTGGGCAAAAGGTTCTCTCGGCCAACCCCGCCAGGATTGTTTTAAAAACATGGGAATTCCTGGAGTGTTACTAAAGTTGCATGTGTGCTTAGAAAAACTTTGTGTGGCTTTCTAATCGCTTCTGTTGAAAAGTAATCCCATTGGGAAAGATCTCTCCTGCCCTATGCTGAGGCTTTCATTTTAGGACCAGCCCTATTGATGAAGATATTCTACTTGTAAGTGGATGGGATGAGATCCCAAAAACTGTGAGAAGCATGTTTTGTGTTTTACAAGCCATCTTCTCTCTGCACATATGAACAAGCTGCTTTTGAAAGAAGGGCCCAGACTCCTTTGTTTAATGAGAAAAAAAAAAAACAAATCTAAATTTTCCTCTGTATAGAGAGTTCTCCATATCACACCTGCACAGATCTCAGATACAACCTATGTTCCTTATTCACTTTTGCTGCTATTAGCACAGTATTTCTTGAACAAAAAAAATGAGACAATAGTGAACAAGAATGTTTATTTCTCCATTTCCAAATATTTTTCTGGTGCTTGGTAGGTTTACTTATCAACTTTTCCTTTCAAAGGCCCCTTCCGGTAAGAATGAATGGTTCTCAGATCTGGGTGTAGCTCTTTGATTTATGGCTGGGCTTTTTAAAATAGACTTTCACAAGAATAGTTTTCATGCGAACAAGGAATAGGCTTCCTTTTGAACTTGGACAAATAACAGCAAAGCATCAACAATAGAAATTCTTCCACGGCTTAAAATAATACTGTGTTCTGGTCTTTTCTAGTTGTTTTTTGAATGCCATTGGCATTATTTAATATACATGGGAAAGTAAATTGGAATTCAAATTAGTGTACTGTATACAGAACTGGGAAAGGGCCCTGCCTGCCCAACCCTTTCATGAGCACCATTTCCTTCTGCCCTAGATCAGAAAATACTACATAGCTGGGTTTTTGTGCAACATCATTTGGTTTATTTTACCTAACCACTTTTATCCCATTCTTTTAACTGAAAAATAATTTTCAGTGTGGTTTGGAATAAAAGCATTCCAAAATTAAAATTAAACAAATACAGCATAGTAAAAACAGGGTGATAAGCTAGAGAAAAGAAGCTATAGTGCACATGATAACAATTTAAGACATAATCAGGTTCTCAGTAGAAGAAAAGGATATTCAGCCCATGGAAGAATGTATTTGAGAGAAGAGAAAAGCCCATTTTTGCTTGCAGAGTAATTTGCTAGCCAAGTTGCGGCACCAGAAAATTCTGTCTTGCAGCCCAAGTGACCACTTCTTCATAGCTGAAGGCAGCACAATTCTGCTCTGCCCTTTAAAGGTTAGATGAACTTTTTGTTTAAGTCTCGTGTTTGGGACCCGCCACATATGAAGCAGTAACAAATACTTGGTCTTTATTGTATTGGGTCGTCCTCCACGCTGCCTCCTCTCCCTGTGGGCAGGATCACTCAGGCTTGTGCTGAGGTTGAGGTGACGTTTCCTCCTTCCCTTTCCATGCAGATCATTTGCTGAGAACTTCCTCTACCAGCAGACCAGCTTCCCTGCCAAGAGTTCCTGCTATGGAAAGCGCTAAATCTCTCTCTGGTAATAATGGAGTAATGATGGGTACTATGGAAGCAAGCAATTCTTCGGATACTGTGCTGTGAACGCCCTTAGAAAATGTACATGTGTAAGAGTATACAAATAAGACTTCTGGATATGTTGGTATGAAGGGCCACTTCCATTATAACATCAGCGGTTTGTGAAATAACACATAGAAATGGGTGACTCTCAACCTTAACTTTAGTCTAATCCCAGTAAACACAGTTAACAGGTGATATGTAAGTGAAATTGTTATTGCTATGTGATATTCCTCCGTTTGCAATCAGGCAGAAGAAATGTAGATAGATTAAAGCTGACACAGGAGATCCGTTCCTTGCCAAACACATTTTGAGATGTGTGTGGAGTAGAACTTCTACAACTTAAGATCTAGATTAGTAGAATAAGTGCAATGAAATAAAAAATGGTTTCTTTCTGAATAACATCTTAAGTCCTTAAAATGTGTTCTTTGAAGTTCAGGAACAAGCCTGGATCTTGCTCCTTTGACCAAACTCAGTGGCCGCGGTATCTACTAGCACCAGGGTGGGGTTGCTAACAGTACTAAAATGCTTAGATTGCAAATGTCGGGTCCATTATGAAATTGAACACTGGGCTTTCCGATTTTCCATCCCAGTGTCTCGCCGAAGCAGTGAAGAAATCAAGCGGGAGATGACGGCTCCTGATGGAACATCTCCAGCCTCCCTCGTAGCAATCGGGACCGCTTCGCCGCAACTGTCGCTCTCATCTTCACCCACAGCGTCAGTCACTCCTACAACACGGAGTCGAATAAGGTACAGCTCACTGCTGCTTTCCATTTGGGCCCTGACCAGCACAGCTAGTGAGGTTCATCACTGGGCCTGCCAGTTGGGCGTCCTAACCCTGAGCATGCTAGCGAGGGCTGACTGGCACCTCCCTCGCCACTTGGGAGCATGTCTGGAGCATTGTTGGAGCATTCGCTGGCCTTCGCTTGTGTGCTTGGATGCCAGGCACTCCCCTCTCTTGCTTCTGGCTAGTTGCTGTTCATCTCCAGCATGGTGGCAAAAATGCTCCTCTCTCTCTCTCGTTCCTGCACCCTTTGAAATCCACTGCTGCATCAGGAGTGGATGAGCTGAGTCGTATTTAAGGTGCACCCTGTGAGCTCCTTTAAGGGGTGGATGAAGCATATTTGGATACTGTATAACACACAGCAGCCTGAGAAGACAGCATGGAAGGGAACTTAAAACACGAGTTTCTGCTCAACCACTTTGATCCTCTGAGAAAAAAGAAATCTTTCCCACATCACTCTCTGGTTACACTTTTTGGGAGGAATGTTGCACCTTGCGTGTTCCAAACCTCCCGTGCTTTGCTGGGTGCAGTTAGAGCAGTCTTCCAATTAAGTGCCCTTGAAAGAGGTGGGGGCAGCTGCAGGAGCCCTTGAGGAAGACATTCGCTTTTAAGCGAGTCTCCACACTTTTGCTTACAGCTGCCAGCCATCTCTATCCTCCGTTGAGTTTCTACATTATCCTCCCATGTCGGGCAGGAAAGATCAGTGAAGGTCCAATAAAACTGATTTATTGCTGAGCATGTCACTACACAAGAATATTTCTCAATTCATGGGTCAGTACCTGCTTGGATCCATGGAATCTGGTCTACTTGTGGCTACGTAGAGATTCTAGGCTGATAACCTCTTTTACCTCTGCCCCCAGGCTTTGCCACTCCTTCCCCTACACCTCTCTGGTTCTAGTTTGGTTTTCTGGGGCACCCGAAATTCGGTCAGCACTTCTTGTTTCTGAGGCCATTTACCATCCAATCTTCTGCTCTCCAGATTAGACATATCCCTTCCCCCACCCCACCCCGGGTGCTTCTCCTACTGGTTGTCCTTCCAACTGGTTTATCAGATTTGTGTGCCTTGGCAGTTCGGTGGGTGGGGCTTGGTGGGTGCGCTTTGCGCGTGTGCACACGCGCGCCATTTGCGCAGGCGCAGAGGCATTTCTAACTCGCCTCCTGCAAGCCTGCACGATCTCCCGGTCTCTTCAGCAGCTGACCCACAGCGCTATTCTGTGCCACGCAAAGCAGCTGCGCTTCAAATTCGGAGGATAAAGGGGAGTATGGGAGCCTGGGTGGGTGGGTGGGCCCAACAGCAGAGCAGTGGAGAGAACCGGTTCGGTCTCCACTGTTCATTGCTCCTACCGGCTCTCCAGAACCAGGCAGAACCGATCAAGTACCATCACTGCTTGGCATTCTCCACAGGTTCCCAGCAAAATTCCTCTTCTTTTTCAAATTGAATTATATATGTTGGGTGGGTTATTCTGAATATCTTGATTAGTGAAAAAAGAGCTTTCTAGAATACGATGCTAATATAGGATGAGGTAGCTTGATTTGAATACAAGAATGCTTCTTTTAATGTAGCTAAAACTAGCATCTGTTTTTTAGTAGCTGCTACCACATGGTGGTTTGTCTGCTAAAATACTTAAATATTTGTTTGTTTTGCTTTTAAGCTGCCCATTTCCCAAGACTGTAGTAGCTAACAATATCAAAATATAACCCCATAAAATCATAACCTTCAACTCGTACTGATGTTACTTTGATTCAAGCCAGCTTTGTCCAGCTTGCAATAAAGCACCCCAGGTTGACAATTACATTATAAAGAACAGATATTTTCTTTTGAGCTAAGCAGGTGTAAATTCGTAGTGCCATCCTGATGAAAGGATTAAACCATTTCTGTATGTTTATTTAATATATTAGTATGGATGTTAAACAATGTATTAGATACATAAGTATTAAAATAAGGTTATCTTTAGAAATGAAAAAAAGTATGGCTAAACAATATGCTAGTCAAGGTCTATAATGCCAGCATAAAAAACAGTTAAACTGGTTTGGGCTTGGAATGCAGTTGACCTAACAGACAGACTCATTGGTAAGATTAATATTTGTTGTAAACCACTTCTCATTGTGTCCACCCAGCTCATTTTATTTGTTTCCTGAAACATTATTTTCAAAACAAAGAACTTGACATAAAATGTGTTCCTCTCTGGAATTTAGAAACAAGCTGTACTGTTCTTTTGCAGTGTTACGGGTGGTTAGGTTTCTGTTTTCTTTTTAAAGAAAGATTCGGTTTAGACTTTAAAAATATTCTTAAACGTGTAGTTTATGTTCCTACATCCATAGGTATCTAGTTAAAACTCTTATCAATCACCAGACCCATAGACAACGAAGCAGGGTTGGCAAAGCAGGGGTAATTTTAGGGAATCATTTGCAAAGACATTGAAGATTTTTAGGATTACAGACTGACTCAAAATGGGTGCAGAATGAGAATGAAAAATGGGTTTGAGCTGGGCTGGGTAGGTGGAAGTGAGGAAACCCCACAAAACATAACAGGTGCCATTTCTTAAATCACATTTTAGCCTGCTGGTGACTGCTAAATAGACCGTATCTGCTTCAAAGCAGGGGAGAAGTGATCGAGAAAGAGAAGGGGGTGGTGTTTGGCTACTGAGAGAATGGCAGAATGATGAAAGTTAAAAAAAAACAAAGAGAGTGAGGTTTGCAGGTTTTTCCTTTTGGGTGGGTTGAATATAATGCTTTTCTTTATGTTGAAACCTTACGTTGAACTAATTTTACCACCACTTGAAGACTTGCACTATATTTTCCATGCATTTCCTTTCTGAAAATGGCAAGAAACTAGTGGGCCCTGGAAGTCAGTTTAGCCAGCACATTTTGAAACTTAAGAGGATCTACAGAAATCATTGTTTAGACTTCTGGTTTGTCAGGTGAGGTTCTCAGTGCCAGCTACTATGAAAACTAATTTTGTCATTCGCATTTCATTCTGTCCCTCCTTTGGCATCCTTCCTTTCATGATTCTTTTCCACCATTTCTTTGATATTAGTATAACTCTTGTCCCGCAGTGAGTTGGCTGTGCCGAATTATCTCATGGCAAGTTGGCCGTGGGCAATTGTCATAGACCCCATTCAAGGGTGTTGGCATTTTCCTTGTTTCTCCTCAGTCTCCCCTGTGCCACCTTTTCCTATCTCCCCACAGCCACTTCATGCCACCTGCCTCATTGTCCCCTTCAGCCTGAACGCTTCTGTTCCACGTCCGTGCCAGTGCCCAAGACCAAACCCACAGTTTTGTGTCTGGAACAGGCTTCCTGAAAAGGGCCACACACAAAATTTTGCTCGTCCCTAGTGAAATACAAAAATAATAATAATCCAGTTTTGCAAAGAGGCTGAAACAAGCTTCTTACGGTTCTCTGCCACTTCCAAAATTGGGCGATAGAAAGCCGTTCCCTGAAGACTAGCCTTTCTCCACCTGGACCTGCAGGAGGTGCAGCATCCTTGATCGATCCCAGGGAGCATAAGCAGATCCTAATATGGTTGGTCCTTGGTGGGAAATGTCAGGCTGGATTAAGAATTGGAAAAGTACCCTGGAAGAAGGCAGCAAAACAACGGCCACGTTGCATGGTGTGGCATTGGCCCATGCCACGCACTGCCAACGGGCGGGCACACTTTGGGCCTCTTCCTTGAAACTGGACCCTCTGATGGGACCTGAGATGTGTGCCTTTTGGTTAGAGTCCCTGCCCTCTGGAACAGCCCCCTCCCCTCCTGACACATGGTTGGCCCCCAACCCAGGTCACCAAGCCTGGATCCCCACCTGGAGGGGAGCCGCCATCGCCTGTTGCAGGGTTTCTCAGCCTTGGCTGCTTGAAGTTGTGTGGACTTCAACTCCTAGAGGGGGAATTCTGGGAACTGAAGTCCACACATCTTCAAGCGGCCAAGGCTGAGGGACAATATGGCCGGTTGTGGGTTTTGTCATTTCATTGTTTATTTTGCTTTCTTGTCTTCCGGTTTATTGTAAACTACCCAGAGCCCCAATGTTCACATTGTGTGGCCTATAAATTAAAATTAACTTTAAAAGAAAACAGCATGAATCATGAAGACTTGATCGGAGGAGTTTACCTTTCCAAGTTTGAAATGAATGGATTTGGGCAATAAACAACGACCTGCTTCTCCTGTTGCTTTCAAGGCAATTGGCACAGGAAAAGGTCCTCCTGGATTTGGCCATGGCACTGCCAGATGTCTGTACATTTCTGGACCTGGAGGCAGCTGTTATGCGTCCCTTTCTTTTTTCTCAAGGAAAAGGCCTCCCTATGAAATGTGGGGTTTCTGCCTCAAACTTCATCCCCTCCCCCACCTTGTCAGCACACGCAAGGCCTCCTGGGACTTCCATGCATCTGGGAAAGGCTCTTAGGGGGCATTAATGCTCCAGGGCTGCTGCCCCTCCCAAAAGAATTGCAGCCCATCGGCCTGTGCCTGGCTCCTGCCTGGCCTCTGCTTCTTGGCCAGAGAACAGGGAGGCCCCTCCGTGTGCAAGAGGACCTCTCTGGGTTTTAAGATGACTGCAGGAGATGTCAGGCTGTTCTCTTCCAAGGTGGCCACCCACTTGCGTTGCCTCGGGTGGGGGGGTGTCTCAGTAGTTAACGCCCCAACCGGTCAAGGTGACATTCTGAGCCAGCCAGGAGTTGCAGGGAGATGTTATCAGTTGATTCTCTAAATTTGGATTAAAGTTTAGGAACACTTACATCTCATGTATATGTATCAAATGCTTCTGACTGATTCCATGATAGATAGATAGATAGATAGATAGATAGATAGATAGATAGATAGATAGATAGATAGATAGATAGATAGATAGATAGATAGATAGATAGATAGATAGATAGATAGATAGATAGATGATAGAGAGAGAGAGACGTTTTTTGTTTGAATTTGGTGCTGGCTTTCTGCTTTATTTGAATGTTTTTTTACGGCTGCCAAGCCTGACACACAAGATTAAAAAGAACCCAATACACAAAGCCTGAGGATGGCAGATGAGATCATGCTGAAATGTCGCTATAATAAAAGCACAAATATTAAGACGTGGGAAAATACCCGAAGAAACCTAAATACCATACATTTAAATATCCGCAAAAACATAAGAAGTGTGTGTGTGTGTGTGTGTATATATACATACATACATACATACATACATACATACATACATACACACACACACACACACACACACACCACACACACATACATACATACATATATAAGGCCCGTTTTGCCCACATTTCCCCAATTCTGCCCCCGGCGTGCTGAGCAACCCACCCAGCCTGGCTGCAGCCTCTTAGGCGAGGGCGCTCCTGGTGGCGGAAGGGGCTCTTGGCGCAGGGCCTTCTGCCCAGGCATGGCACAGCACGCGGGTGAGCCCTCTGGATGTGTGGGGGGCTTCCATTGAGCAAACACTCTTCCTTCCTTTCTAGAGAGGAGAGGAAAGACCCCCTGTCTGCCCTGGCGAGGGAGTACGGGGGCTCCAAGAGAAACGCCCTGCTGAAGTGGTGCCAGAAGAAGACCGAGGGCTATGAGGTAAGCGTGGCTGTTTGGAGCACAGGCGGGTGGGGGAAAGGGGGGAGCCAGGCTGTGCCACCCTCCGCCACCTCCGCCGCGGGGGAGCCGGTATGTCCTGTGCCTGCAGGAACAGATCCTGTGCGTCCCAGCTGGACAGTTATTAATAGCTACGCTGGTTCCTTTGCACAAGGTAAATATCTTTCCTGACAGAGTAGCTGACACTCCTGTTCCCAGAGGTTGAAATGGCTGGTTTTTCCTCACGCGCATGTGAAGAGAAAGAGCGCAGAACGGAGCCTCTCAGTAGGAAAAAGCCAAAGAGCAGCCGAGACTAATCTCTGCTGGTCTCTTAGACGGTGGAAGTTTATTTGCCTGCTCAAAAGAACCACACAGCAGTCCTCTCATTCTTTGTTCTCCTTTGGGTGATTCAGAAAGAGAGCCTGCCAACCAACCCTTAAGGCTGCTCATTTTAATCAGTGCTATCAAAAACCCGGAGATGCCGAAGCCTCTGGAGGAAATTAGCTGCAACACCTGTTGATCCCCTGCCCAGAGAGACTTTTGTTACATCAAATACTTCTGGGCAAATTGGAAGTCACTGCAGTAGCATACAGGAATTAAAGCAATAACTACAGCCAAGTGAAGTGCCTTAAAGCAGGGGCCTCCAACCTTGGCAACTTTAAGACTTGTGGACTTCAACTCCCAGAGTTCCTCAGCCAGCAAAGCTGGCTGAGGAACTCTGGGAATTGAAGTCCACAAGTCTTAAAGTTGCCAAGGTTGGAGACCCCTGCCTTAAAGAGCTCTTCGGTCTAAGTTTCTGAAAGCAGCGACCCTTGCTCAGCACCAGCGCCTGGCTCGATCAGAGCTTGGCTGCGCCTCACATGGGAGCCCTGTCCATGTTTGGCTGACGCACATTTCTAAGGCTGAGTCCTGGGTTCATCTTGCCCTCCCGAAGGAGCTCCCTTTTTTCCCGTCTCCGGGTAGGCAGACGGACTTCCAGTCGGTTGGCATTTTCTTCCTTCTCATTCAAGACAGTATCATCCCTCAACCCAGATAAAGTTTTAATGGAATTTAAACAGAAAAATATAGTTTCTCGTGATGAATCTCCTCTATCATTCAAGAGAAAGGTGTGGTCCTGGATAAGAAGGAAGAAAAAGGGTTTTAGATATTAACCAACACTTTCAAAAGGCAGTTTTTCATGAGAATTCCTTTCAAGCTGTAAGACAAACCAGGCTGGCAATCCAGCTTTACAAAGCAATGCTTCTAAAGACATGCAAACTCTGGGTCCTGCATCAGACAGAAAAACCTTTGCAGAGATTTTGTTTTGTATTAACACCAAATGTTTCCCTTATAGTCAATTATAGTCAAAAACATCCAGCCGTATTATTGTCCTCTAGTAGGTTCTCCATTGTCCTTTATGTTGCCTGTCCATACAAAGTCATATTTTTCCTTTGCTCAAATTGGTTTATTCTGGAGTCTCTGGGCCACAGGTGTCAAACTTGCTGTGTCATGTTGCCGTCACATGACGTACCATGACGATTTTTCCCTTTGCGGAGCTGGGGTGGGTGTGGCCTGCACATGACGCATCCAGCCCACGGGTTGCCAGTTGGACATTCATTCTAGGCAAATACACCGACTTCTTGTGGAGTTCTATGTGTGTCTGCTCAGATACGGAGGCCAAGTAACTACTGTGCCCGTTGTGCTACCCTTGGCCCCTAATGTTCCTAACTCGGTGGTTAGCAATAACAATTATAGACTTACATACCGCTTCACAGTGATTTTACAGCCCTCTCTAAGCGGTTTACACAGTCAGCCTCTTGCCCCCAACAATCTGGGTCCTCATTTTACCCACCTCGGAAGGATGGAAGGCTGAGTCAGCCTGGAGCCTGGTGAGATTCGAACTGCCAAACGTCTGGCAGCCGGCAGTCAGCAGAAGGAGCCTGCAGTACTGCACTCTGACCACTGTGCCATCATAGCTCAAATTAGATATTGCAGTTTCTTTTCTGATCAGGAGATTAGTCTTCCTTCGACAAGATCTATCTGGGGCTCATAGACATCAGTTGATATCCTCTTCTCAACATTAATTGTTTCAGATTTGGGGCGGGGGGGGGGTTCCCCATGTCTTAAATATGCCTCCGTTTTATGGGTCTAGGACTGTAAACAAGAAAAGTAAATGTATCCAAAGAAGGTTGAGACATATGAGCTCCAATTTGTCTGCTACTCCCATGATTAATAGCATAGACCACCCAGTGCTCCAGGTGTGGATTTTCTGCACTGAATCAGGTCTGGCAGTAGTAGGGAGCCTGCAGGATTCCTTGGACACTGTTGTGTTTGTTCAGAGAAGCAAGCCTTCATCGTGGGATTGTCTGCTTCATTTCATAACCTCAGTGCCACGTATCTAAAAGGGTGTTTCTGGTGGATCTGACACCAGTTAGATAAAGAAAGCACCTAAGGAATTGATGACAAGTTGTAATTCTTTGGTTTTTATACTTTTGTTTTCCTTAACGAAGTCAAGTGGGTTTACAGTATTATGAATCCCAAACAGGCACCTTAAAGAGGATTATAGTGAAGTAAAGTTGAAATATCAGGAAGTAGTAAAATTCCGTGACTAGGAAAAGAGGGTGGCAGGGGAGAGAATTCCAAAGAATTCTGACATCACCTGGGATCATTTTATGGGAAGGGAATTGAGTTTCTCTGCCTTGTATATTTTATATTTAGATACATCTTTTTAATCAAGATATATGTCTATAAAAAGATAGGTTTGTTCATGGGTGGGGTTTTTTTTTTGGTTCTTTTTTTTTTTACACTTCCAAATTCAGCAAATAGTTCAGTTATTTCTGGAGGATTCCTTTTTCCCATTTACATTGTGGCTACATTTTCTCAGCCCTGAAACAGGCTGCAGCTTCCATTAAAGGGCAGTTAATCCACCGGTTTGTTTCTACAGCTATCAAATATCACTGTAGTTTTCTGATATTCTGATACACATTTCCATTTACAATAGAAAGGAATAAACAGAATATTGTTGTCAGAGAAGGACTGTCTAGTTAACAAATACATAAACCAACCTGATGCCCATTTGTAATAGTGGAATTAATCCTGCCTATAGAGAAATACAATTGCTTAACGAGTATTGGTTGGCAATAGTTACCTATACCAACATTTCTGTGCTGACAAATGTATTTAATTGAGAAAAAAACTTAGCAACTTGTGTAAACTAAGTGGTCTCTCGGCAAAATGTTAGATACCTCATGCCTTTGTGTTTGAGCATCCCCCAGAGAGAGATAAGCCCTCGGCATTTAGTTGTTGGTGGTTTAGCAGATTGAGCAAACAGTGCTATGGACGGTGGCAAGGTTGCTGTCAGTCAGCAGTTCTTCCGTAAACCTGTAACGTTGCTACGAGCTCCTTTGGAGAAATCTTCACCTACCTTTCCTTTGCTTAGAGTTAATGCTAAACCTAGTTGGGCATTTGCCGGTGACCTTAAACAGTTGAAATGATCTCAGATAAACCCCTGAATCGGGGGAAGTCCCAAGGGTATCAAGAACCCAAGCAAACTGCAGGGCTGCCAGAGATGACTGACTATGGCAGAGATCCCAGCCAAGTGAGTGCCAGTGCTAAGCATTTTCTCATCGTCCACGAGACAAACGAAATCGAGCGAGAACACTGCGCGCATCTTGCTTTCCAGCCCCTGCATTTGTAAGAATCTTGTATCCTTTTAAAAAAAAGAAGAAGAAGAAGAAGCCACATTCAAGCTTGTTTAAAATTCCTGAAGCTGCATCAGTTTCAGACTTCTCGGGTACAAGCTGTAGGTCAGCTTACAGCGACCAGAGGGATGGAAGGGATCTCCTATCCGCTGCTCTTCTGGGGCTTTAATCTGACCCGGGGATGAGCTGTGTGCAAGAGAGGAACCCAAGTGGAGGCATTTTCTGTGACAGAGCAAAACAAGCAGCGCAAAGCTTTTTCTCTTGAGCGGTTCATGTCAGTGGCTGGAAGAGGCTCTTCTTCCATAAGCCCAACATTTAAACACTACTTCTATAAAAGACTCACAATTTGCTTGATGAAACCCTGAAGCCGCAGGGTGTGAACCGATGCAGGGAGAACCTGAGACGAGGTCTGGGGAGGGCAGGAGGATGCTTGCATGGCCAGAAGCTGAGCCAGCCAGCTATTCCTTCCAGCATTCCTTCTCATCACCGCAGAGGGCTCAAGGCCTGGAGGGAAGAGCAGTCAGGCAGGGCATCCCTTGATCCAGAGACACAGCGGGGAATTCTGAGGCAGACAGACAGACATCCATCCATCAGGGAGGCTCCAGTTTGGCTTCTTGTTCTGAGTAGGGTGCAGATGGGCTTGGATTGCTTAAGTGACCCTTGTGATTCTTGGAGGCTAGAAGCCCAGGGTCCTCCCCCTCTCACCGCCTCCATTATCTTTACTTGCTTACGGTTCTGTTTTATCTTGACTTGTGTTTTGGGTCTAAGAAAGTAAGCCCCTCGTTCCTGGAAGACATGCTGTCCCTTACCTGTTTTTGGTTCCCCCCTTTCAGAACATCGATATCACCAACTTCAGCAGCAGCTGGAACGATGGCTTGGCGTTCTGTGCGGTCCTCCATACTTACCTCCCAGCACACATTCCCTACCAGGAGCTGAACAGTCAGGACAAGGTATGCTACTTGCCCGGGAGCTGCCCGAACCAGCCCGTGCCAGAAGCCACCTTTTCTGAGCACGGCCTTCACTGCTCCCTTTGCACACCCTGCCGCTCTTAGCAAAGGCCCAACAGGAACCGGTCCTTTCTCCTTGGCTTGCATCCTAGCAGGCGTCCCGCTTGGAATGATTGTGTCTGAGGGAGGCTCTGCAAATATGCTTATTTATTAAATTTATATGCCTCCCATCTCACTCTGTTTCAGAGAAGAAACTTCACGCTGGCTTTCCAGGCCGCGGAGAGCGTTGGCATCAAATCCACGTTGGTAAGTCCTTGCAAAGACAGCAGTCTTAGGCACTGAAAACAGTGCACGGTTGGGGCATGAAGGGCACCCTGTGCAGGGCAGCGAAAGGGAGGAGAGGAAGAGGGCAGAGGTGGCAGGCATCTCCAGCTGCTGGTCATCAGTTGCCATTTCTGTGCCTGTCACTCACAGGCACAGCCGAGAATAAGCAACAAATCTTGGTGCAAAGCGCTCCCTCCCTCTCCCTCTCCTTCCCTCCCTATCTCCCTTCTTCTATCTTCTCTCTCCTGCCCTATCCTTCCCCCCTCTCTTCATTCTCCCTCCCCCTCTCTCCCTCCCTCCCCCCTCTCTCTGCCTCCCCCTCCCAGCCCAATAGGAAGACCTGATGACATCACAAGGGACTGCTCTCCTTGCAGATGGGTGCTGAAGCTGGTCCATGCAGATCGGCAGCCCAGCTGGGCCTTGAGTGTGAGGAGAGCAGCCAGGCCCTGACCTGCTTCCAGATGCAGCCGCCTCTGTACCGAAAGCCTGCAGAGTTTTATTTATTAATGTAATTACTTTTATAGACAAGCTGATATTCAGAGGGGAAGAAGTTAATTCTACATGACTGGTTGTCTTTTTATGTCTCTCTCTTTTTTCCCTTCTTGTTTTCTTGGTAGGATATTAATGAAATGGTACGAACGGAGCGTCCAGACTGGCAGAATGTTATGCTCTACGTCACGGCAATTTACAAATACTTTGAAACCTGAGAGCAGGGCAAGCGGAGAGAAGCAGAAACTCAAGACTGTGCCCTAAAACCAACTGACCTCTTTTGGTGGACCCCCTCCGGTCAGTTGAGCGAGCCAGGTTTAGTTACCAGAACGATTGGGCAAACTCAGCCTTAAGTGTTAACGAAGATTTCGTCCTTTTCTTGCCAGAGACTAAACCGAATATAAGCTGCAAAAAGCACAAGGCTAAAGGTCACCTGATTGTATCACAAAGACTTTCTTTAGAAAGTGTTCCTCAATGTTGGGTAAATATTATTTTTGTGACGCCCCCAGTACTCCCCAGAGCGGGAGAAGCGGCTTGTTGCAACCTCGTCAAAGCCGTTGGAGATCATCTCCGTCTCTTCAGCTAAAAGAAGCGCACAGGTGCCTTTTCCTTGCCGCGTTCACCTGGCTGCAGGTGCTGCCACCTGACCAGGACTGTGCGCAGCCAAGGAGTCCGTGTCTTCAGGCGACCCCTTTCAAGGTTCGATTGTAATAAAGGCCCTGCCTCAATTAAATGGGGGGAGGGGGGTCTGGGGGAGCAGGCATATCACCCCCCAGATTCCAGGAGACGACCACATGGAGATCTGTTGACTTTTCCTTGGGAAGAACTAACTTTTCCTTCTTGGTTTTTCTTTTTAACGGTGCTTCGGATAAAGTTTGTTTCAGATGAAGAGAATGTTTGGGTCACAGGACAGGATAAGCTTTTCAAAAACTGCTCAGCGTTTTACCATAAAGATCTTAACCCCTGTGGGGTCTGCAAGTGGCTTCCCAGTTCGTCCACCTCCCAACCCCACTTAGCTGCTGCTGCTCCTGCATGTGGGCTGGAGGAAAAGGGGCTTCTGGGACTCTCCCTGTGCAGCACCTTTAAATGAATAATGGGTGTCTCTCTCTGCAGGCTGAGCTCTTTGGGTTAAAACTGGTTTAATAGGTGGAATTAATCCCCATCGGGAGATGGAAGAACAACTTTGGAGCTCCGCCTGTGGCTTTAAACCAGCCTGGCCCAACGCTTGTGGGGGGGGGAGCAGCAGCAGCCTCCAGGACCAGGGAGCTCCAGGGAGTGTCTAGTGCCCCCCCTTCCCCCCAGAGGCCTTGGCAAAGAAGCAGTGCCAGGGTTCACTACTGGGCAATGAAAGAAGGGGTTCCCCCCCCCTCCCCCTTTCCCTGGAGGGGCCAAGTGATCATCTCCCCAAACCCATTTTGCCTTTTTGGACACAAGTCTGTTACAACCTTTTGTTTGCAAATGTACTTTGCTTTTTCCCACTCAACGTCATTCTGCATTCTTCGATGTGCCTGGCAGAGGACTTTGAATGTTTTCGGTGTGTTGAGCTGTCAAGAATATAATCCATTTCCACAATTTAGCCTCGAAAACGCTCTGGGCGGGCATTGAAACCAGACTCTGTCCTGAAGCTAGTCAGAATGAACTCTGAAGAATGTAGCCAGGAAGTTTCCTTGTGCCTCTTGTACATCATTCACAGTGCAAAAAAAAAAAAAACATTTTACAAACTCTTAAGCTCACATCTGTCAGCCGCCTCGTGGGTTCCCCACTCCCAACGCTCGCTTTCTGGTTTCCCTCAAAGGAGCCCGCAAATACCGACAAATTTGCCTTGGGATTCCTTCTGTGGAGATGAGAGCATGAGAGGAAGTACACGGGGAGCTGGCTCTACGCCTCCCAGCAGTCTTCTGTTGGTCTTAAAGGGAGTCTTTGCGCCAAACGGGGCACTGCCGCCTCTGGACACGGTGCTGGGAGGAAGGTGGCCTTCCGTCTCTTCTTCCTTTCGGAGTCTAAAATGATGAGGCCTTGTGTCTTGTGTCCCGTTTCCCCCCCCCCCCCTTGTTTTGCATCCTAGAAGACGGCGTATATTTTTCTTGTAAGCAGATGGCAACTCATTGTAGCCCAGGAAGAGCGAGGTGAGTTGAGTTTTATACAGGAGTCGCTCCAGGAATTCTTTCTCTGCCCTTCAAGGGAAGGAAGGAGGTGTCGGTGGAAGGGAGATGTGCAAAGGAGGAAGACCTGGAGAAGGGAAGGCTTGCTCTTTCTGGCAGTGACGACCTGTAACTTTTGTTAAAGATGGGATTGTATATTAAGATCTCACCCCCAAAAAATATTTTACCAAGGAAAACACTCAAAAGGGTGAAAGAAACCTAAAGAAGCTTCTTATTCTACCATAGAAGAACGCTTAACAGAGAAGTTCTTTGTTACATTCTTTAAATATTCTTGAATTCTTTAGCCATCTTCTAAAAACCAATTAACTTATGTAAAAATATATTCTTGTTACGTTTGTCTTATTAAATATTTTGAATATGCGATAAAAAAGCTAGTCTGTTCAATGTTTCTGTGTTTCAGTTAGATGCCAGTATTTTGATTTTCCTCACTGCTATTTGGGGAAGTTTTGCCTTGAGGTGCCTTGGGGAGTGGGGAGACAGGGGAGGCCCTGTGTTTCTCCTTCAGAGGCTTTGCCCAGTGGGAGTTCAGGTGGTTCATCCTTAGGACTGTCTTCCAAAAGGAACAGGAGTTTAGCCACCTTGTGGTCACCTAAGCACTTGGGGAAAGCCTAGGCCCAAATATCCCCCCCCCCCCGGGGGGGCCTTTTTTTTGGGGGGGGAGCAGGTAAGCCTGCGACTGGATAGAAATCATCACCAGCCAGGAAGCCCCTCAGGTCTTCCCTGGATTCAACTTCAGTTTCTTCATCTTATCCAAAGCCGGAGACTCCCATAGAGATCAACACCTCTGACGACGAGAGGCATAAACAGATCACAGGGTTATCCCATAAAAGTAACATCCAGCTCCAGAATTCCAGGCGGTCCCACCTGGGACCTTCATAAAGGGGGCGGGGGATGCGCAGAGGAGGGCCCTGTAGCCTTCCATAGCCCAAGGCCATGGAAAGGAGGTGGGCTCTCCCAGAATGACATGTTGGCACCTGCCCTTAAGGTAGGGATGGAAGAGGACAAAGCCTGTCAGAGGTCTTGGCGGGAGAGGTAGTTTTTTTTTTCAACAAAAAGTCCACCAGGAGCTTTCAGCCACTAATATATGTAGTTATTGTCCTTCCTCTAACCAAACAAGGTCATTTTGCCATCTCTGCTAATCCTGTCGTCTTCACCAGCCATTCTTCCACTGTGGGCATCTCGGAGTATTTCCGTTTTTGTGCACATAATCTTGCAGCAGCGGCCATATATAACAACAGTCTCACATAACTCTTCTAATTATTGGGTCCGTTAGTCCCAACAAGATTTCTGCTTTCAAGTGAATATTTTTTTGAATTCTTGTATTGCTTACATATTTGAACCCAAAATGTTCTGGCTTTTAGCAAGTCTAACTAGACATAATGTCCTTTCATGTTCTCCACATTTCCAGCATAAATTTTAAGTACCTTTGTACATTCTGGATAATAATTCTGGAGTCCCACATCAGCTACATCCGTTTATAAAAGCTATCTTTTAAATGATATAAATTTCAGTCCTTTCAGCCATATATTTCCCCATTATTGTATCAGTATATTATGCCCAAAGGTCTTTGTTGTCCGTTTCATTTGTTACTGTTCTGTTTCCAATTAAAATTAGTGTATGTAAGAGTTTCATGGATACAAAATATATAAAATTATAGATTATAATGTCAGTTGATGGGTCCCTTGGGCTGGAGAGTCCTCAAGATGATACTAAGAAAAGCTGAGATTCTTTCAGTATTTTACGTCTTGGCTAGGTTAAAGCCTTGGGGATGTCTGGTTGCCGATGCTGCCAATTGTTCACTTCCAGGACTCTGATCTCTCTCTCTCTATGCTGTAATGCTCCACTGGAAAGACTAACAAAACCCTTACTTGCACTCCCTGTCCCTTCTCCTTCCTTCGCAAGGCTTCATTCACTCTGGAGGTCTGCTCAGGGTCTAATTACAATGTCATTTTCTCTATATTCTCCTTCAAGAAGCCTTGGGAAGGGATAGGTAATTGTGAGTTCAAACATCATGCAATGGACACTTAGAAGACAGCCCAATCTCACTGTGTTGTGTCGGGTCTTCACACCAGCCTTGGTGGAGTCATCCGTTGCAGGGTAGCTCCTCTTCAGATTCTTGGATTTCTTCAACCCAAGGAGGGTTGACTCTTCTGCTGTTCAACCTTTTTTCAAGAAGACAAGATTCCTGAGGTGGCTATAGATTGTTTGCTAGAGCCTGGTGCCAGTTGCTGAGCTGCATCAGGTTGAAGGCCTCCTGGTCGTCTGACTTTTCCAGGTGAGACGCTTCTACATCTTTGGGTTCTCTGGCATTTATTTTTCTGCTCCTCCTGAGGAACTTTCTCCCTCCAGGAATTTCATTTCCTTTAATGCAACCCAATCCCTTCTTAAAAACCTCTAGTCACGGAGGTCACAACTCTTGTCAGAAAATTTCTCCTAATTTTTAGGTTGCTTCTCTCCTTGATTAGTTTCCATCCATTGCTTCTTGTCCTGCCCTCAGGTGCTTTGGAAAATAGGCTGACTTCCTCTTCTCTGCATTCTTTCTAAAGTCTCAACATCTTTCCCATAGTGTGGTGACCATAACTGGATGCAGGATTTTAGGTGTGGTCTTACTAAGGCTTTATAGTTAGTACCTTAATATCAAGTGAAGTATTAGTGCCTCCCTTGATCTTGATAGTATCACTCTGTTAATACAACTTAGGATTGCATTAGCTTCTTTGACTGCCACTGCCCACTGCTGGCTCCTATTTAGCTGGTTGTCCACTAAGACTCCAAGATCCCTCTCACATTTACTGCTATTAAGCCTGGTTTCACCCAGTCTATATGTGTCCTTTTGGTTTTTCTTGCCTAAGTGTAGGACTTTACTTTTCTCTACACTGAATTTCATTTTGTTAGATACAGCCCAGTGTTCTAGTCTGTCCTTCAGCCTATCTTCTAGGGCAGTGGTGGCGAGCCCATGGCACGCATGCCAGAGGTGGCACGCAGAGCCCACTCTGGGTACACGCACCGTTGCCCCGGCTCAGCTCCATTGTGTTTCTCCGTCGTGTTTCTTGCCATCATTTGCAGGGAAACAAAAGCTTAAAAAAAGTTCACTCAGTCAATTCCAACTTCTCGCCAAAAGAAAAAGATCTCACGAAGTTGGCATTGAGTGAACTTTTTCACTTGCGCGCTTCCTGCAGAGCTGCTGGTGTTGGGATGCCAGCTGGTCTTTGGACGAGAGAGACAGAGGGAGGGGAAAGAGAGAGAAAGAGAGGAGGGAAAGAGGGAAGGAAAGAGAGTCGGGAAGAGAGAAAAGGGGGGGAAGGGAGGGAAAGAAAGGGAGGGAAGGGAAAGGGGGAAGAGAGGGAGGGAGGGAAAGAGGGAGGAAAAGGGATGACAAAAGTTTCTTTTTTGTTGCTAAACGTCATATTTCAAAAGCAGGGGGAAAAATGAAGGCATAAAAGTGCATTTATCATGTTTTTCTTAGAACAATTAGCTGAACTTATTTATCATTATTTTAGGTAGTAAAACCTCAGTATTCAGGTTAAATTGGCATGTTGGCACTTTGTGGTAAATAAGTAGGTTTTGGGTTGCAGTTTGAGCACTCGATCTCTAAAAGGTTCACTATTACTGTTCTTGGGTGTTAGCTATTCCTGCCAGCTTAGTATCATCTGCAAATTTGGTAAGTTCCCCTTCTATTCCCTCGTCTTAAGTCATTTATAAGAGTCCTGGGCCTAAGACAGAACCTTGTGGCACCCCACTGCTTACTTCCCTCCATGTAGACTTAGACCCATTAAGGGCTATTCATTGAGTACTGTTTGTCAGCCAGTTACGAATCCATCTGGTGGTGATGCTATCAACCCCATTTTTTTCTAGCTTACCAAGAAGTAGGTTGTGGTCTACTTTGTTGAATGTCTTGCTGAAGTCTAAGTATATTATGTCCACAGTATTTCGCTGGTCTACTAATTCAGTCACTATGTTGAAGAATGAAGTAAGATTGGTTTTAAAAACATAACCTGTTTTTAACAACTCCATGCTGACTGCTAGTGACTACAGTTTCTGCATTTCTTTGTGAAGTGCAGGACAAGTAAATCGTAGAAGGTAAGGGTTCAGACCATGGCCCAGACATTTTTTTCCCACTGGACAGGATCTTGAGGTGCAGTGGAAGGTAGCTAATCCTTTATGGCTCTGGCCCCAGACTAAATCAATAAGTAAGCAGTCAGAAAAATGGGCTCTCTTTAAGCCACCAAATAAGAATGCAGCAGGCTTTCTACTTCGGGTCCTTGCAGAATAACACAGAGTAGATGTTTACCCTCTTCATCAGGATGACGCTGTCATGAGATGAACGCTGGGAAGGCTGAAATTGGGCAGAAGGCTGGAAGTTGCACGCAGGTCCTCACTGCCGTGTCCTGAGCATATTCAGGCAATGAAATGTTTTGCCACTTGAAATGAAGTCACATCACCCAGCATTCTTGCTGCAACATTCTGTAGTGTCTGAACAATATAAATAAATTCTAGGTCTAAACCATTAGCTGATTGTATGACGATCCATAATGATGGCTCCTCCCTTCCTCTCTCCTGCCATCCTCCATCTAGACAAATAAAGCAGTTTCCGTGCCAGTAGCTGGCAGAAGCCAGATTGGAAGAGACAGATAAAATGTCTGGGTCCGATCAGCCACCACACACTCGAGCACCCGGCCACAGGAAGGCGATCCAGGGCAACAACCAATGATGGTTTAGATCTTCCAGGACAAAACTTGTTTCCTTCAGGAGAGGCATCTGTGATGACCCAAAGGGGCGTGGCACAAAGGCAACACAGTTAAATAAGCAAGAAGAGTCCCTTTAATTATCTCCAACTTTGCCCCTAATGTCCAGGTTACCTTCAGCTGGAAAAAAAAAACTCTCAGGAACAGCCTTTAAATGGAGAAAATTCAGTCTGAAAACAAAGTACATACAAACTGTAACTAAAAATCCAAACAAACCACGCTGCAGTCATTAACTTGACAGGGCAGGAATTGCAGCCTTGAAAGCAAAGCCAAACACACACAGTTGGGAAGATGCCAGGAACCCAGATAAGCCTTGAGGATGCCAGATAATTCACGATTTGCTCTCAACAACTTTGCTGTGCGCAGCTTCCCTTTTTAAACACTGTTCCCAGCTGCAGCTAATGAAGGGAATCAGGGCCCTTTCCTCCCCCGTAAGCCACACAACTCACGTTGCTCCCTTCTCCGTTCCTCCCTGAATCCCCTAGGATGAAGAGGGGGTGGGCCTGGGTCTTCCTCTGAATTCCCTCTCCCTTGCTCTGCTCAGCTGGACTTTGCCCTTCCCCAGTTTCTTCCACAGCCAATGAAGCTACACTCCCATTGTTCCCTGTCAACTGCTCGGCCTCCCGCT